TTTTATGCCAAAAATCATTAGGATATTAAGTAAAGATCATGTTCCATGAAGATATTTTGTAAATTTCCTACCGTAAATATATCAAAACTTAATTTTTGATTAGTAATATGCATTGCTAAGAACTTCATTTGAACAACTTTTAAAGATGATTTTCTCAATATTTAGATTTTTTTTGCACCCTCAGATTCCAGATTTTCAAATATTGTCCTATCCTAACAAACCATACATCAATGGAAAGATTATTTATTCAGCTTTCAGATGTATACATCTTATGACTGGTTTTGTGGTCCAAGGTTACAGATATTTTTTGCGTTCCCATTTGCTCAAATAGCAAAAGAAAAACGATAGTTTTCACGACTTTCAATCAAAGGAAAAAAATTGAGAGAAACCGATAACGGCAGTCAGAATTGTCAAATTTACCGTCCCTCCCATAGACGCTGCATTAGAAACACCCTCGCATTAGCTTTAACTAGTTTTTTTTTCTAATTTGATACAATACAAAGTATAGCGTTATAGTAAATGTACATCCATTTTTTTTTAATTTATTTTATTTTTTTAATCCAAATATAAAAAATTGAGGATTTACGATGCTGATGACCATTGAAACGAAAAAAAGTGGTCATTAGTCACAGGACTCATGTTTTGTTTCTAGATGACCCGGACATCACGTCTGACCAGGGCTCCCTGCAGCACCTGCTGGGCCTCAACCGGCCGCTGGACCCGCGGGACGCAGCGGAGGCTCAGGAGAGCATCAAGGCCAAAGTCAACGCCATCCGCAAGAAACTGATCCAACAGGTACTGAACCCTGCTTCAGGAGAGAGCCTCACATTCACTGGCGGAAGCTGTTGCGTTTCTGAATTGTATTTAAAATGTTCATCCATTTGAATTACACTGTTTTAACATACACTAATAAACTTAAATGTTACATTTGTCACAGGGTTACTACAGTTAAACTACAACTACAGGTATATCATTTTTTCCACTTTAAATAAAATGTTAACTGAAATAAGGGCAACATTTCTCAGTAATTTAACTTGATGTACTAAAATAACAAACTTAAACAGAAATAAACATTTATAGAAACTATATAGACATGTTAAAACAACAAAATTACTTTAAAGTTAACATCAATTTATTTTTAAATATTTTTTAATAAAATCTAATTCAAATATATTTCTCTATAGTTATATACTAGCAACACTGTTTTACTGTTTTGTCAGTCATACAAAACAAATGATGGCATAGTTTATTAATTTAACCTATTTTATTTTTTTTAATCATATTTTCAAAATTCATTTATGTTAAGAATCAACATGAATGTTCATTGTGATGTCAATTAGGTACAATGTATGAGATGGAAACAAATGGGATTTATTGATGATAAATACATAAACCTAGTTATTGGGTATTTAAGACAATTCAGTTAAATAGTACTATTACAGAAATCAGTGCTGAATAAATAAGTCTGTGTTAATCCAAATGGATGGATATGTAATTCAGATACACAGATCTTAAGTTTTGGCCTGATATTTTTAAGTGTACTTGTCATTTGTGTTCCGCCAGTTGTTCCCAGGTTTGTATGTTTGGTTGACCCATGGCGTGTTTCTGTGATTCAGGGTCCGTGTCACACGGAGCTGCATGCTTCTCTGGATCTTATCACTGAATCGCAGCAGATGTTAGGAGAGAAGTTCACCAGCTTTTACCTGCCCAACTGTGACAAGCACGGATTCTACAAGGCCAAACAGGTGCGTGTCTGTCCCGACCGACCCAACCTGACCTGAAACCGTCTCACACTAACTCTTCTCTGTCTGTCAGTGTGAGACGTCTCTGGAGGGCCAGCCTCCCCGCTGCTGGTGTGTGTCGTCCTGGAACGGGAAGAGAATCCGTGAGGATCTGGCGTCTGATTCCCAGTGTCCTCAGGAGCTCACGCACTGAACCGAAGCTGCAGATCATTTCACTTATGTACCATATTTATTCTTATGTATATGGCTCTTATGTGGTTAATATTTATGAACTAGTTTTTGACAGAATTCTACCAGAATGAATGAAACGCACTAGAAAACATGGTGTTTTACGCTCCACAATGACACAACAGTATGATATTTTATGACAAGTCTGTGATTCTGTCTCAGTCTTTGTTCGCTGTGGTTTTTCCTGACCACTTTAATTCAGTATAACTGTTTTTGCACCGCAAATGTCCAAGGTGAACCTGTTTGGACGCTGATAGTCTGTAAACAGTTTCATGTGTTTGTTTTCTGTAAGCTCAGTTTTAATTGCTATTTTATTTGATTATGTATTTAAAACAGATGTCTACCTCACATTAGACATGACGTCTTTATGGACTCCCTGAATGCATTTAACATTTAAGAGTGCTGCTCTATTTATTCTGAAACCATTATTTTATTGGATGTAAATGTGTGTGTGTATATAACCTCATGAGTTTATTTCAATAAAGTGAGATTGTACAGATTGCAAAGGATTTATTTATTTTTTCTTCTGGAGATTAAGCTATTGAACAATTTTCATTTTGAACATTGTGCAGGATACCTCATACGACCGAAAACACAAAGATCGCTGGATGAGGTGATATTACGTACAATCCTGGTGTGATCTCTAGTTATCTTGACATCCTGAGGTAGAAACAGAAAAGCAAATGGAGCATAATTAGCGTAGCTGATGCTTATAACAGTTCAAGCTAAACATAGTCATGTGCATGCAGTGAGTTAATAAAACTAAAGGTGACAGTGACATTTTGGTCATTGTGATGAACTTGCAGAGTTATGTTATATGTTAGCTGGAAAAGCTGCTCAATGTGACCAAGTTTCTGGATGTTTTGATCAGCTGAAGTATGCATTACCAAGGCTTCTGTTAACTAATCCTGAAGTTAACTTGCTGTGACATAAAGATTTATGATGACGAGGGATTTGTGCAGAGAAAGGTCTGAAAGGTCCTGAATACTGCAGAGGGAGGCATATTATGGGACGAGTGTCTGAAAGCAGCCCACTCCTGTCATTAAAGATGAAAAACATAATTATCTTCATTAAACCGGGTCCTCTGAGCTGGGTTTGGTCAGGCTCAGGGTGTTTACTAATGTTATCACCCAACGCTGTCCTGTTTCTCTGGAGGTTGATTAGAAGATCTGCTAACCCTCACTGTCTCTCCACTCTGTTCCTCATAGTCACTTGTTATCATTATTATTACTTTCTTAAGAAGAAGATGAAGAGGCATTATAGGTCAGTTTCTTTCTCATTATTTTTGCTGAGAAATGAATAGCAATAAAGGTAGATCTTTGCCCAGCCTCTTTTGATCTCTCTTTCTCTCTCTCTCTCACACACACACACTCACACTCACTCACACACACACACACACACACACTCACACTCACTCACACACACACACACACACACACTCACACTCACTCACACACACACACACACACACACTCACACTCACTCACACACACACACACACACACACTCACACTCACTCACACACACACACACACACACACTCACACTCACTCACACACACACACACACACACACTCACACTCACTCACACACACACACACACACACACTCACACTCACTCACACACACACACACACACACACTCACACTCACTCACACACACACACACACACACACTCACACTCACTCACACACACACACACACACACACTCACACACACACACACACACACACAGCAGTATAAGAGGCAGGCGTCTGCCGCTCATCTGCAGAAGGAGAGACTCCAACAGACGGAGCATCGCCAGTCTGACAGAAAGAACGCAGAGGTCAGTGACTGGAACTTTATTCTGCTGATTTTACACAACTGGTCTGTTCATACTTCTCTTGCTTTTGTAATAGACAAAGCAATAAAAGATTAAATATCTACAATACCTTATAAAGTAACAGCTAAAACATTTACTCATTTACAAGCTTAATTCTATTTATTTTGGTGTAAGTAGTTGTTTAGTTCATGCTTCATGACCGTAATACATAGAAAAAGAAGAATAAAAAAATCTGATAATGCATTATAATAGACACTATTAAATCAAGTTCAAATTTGCCTATGCTTAAAGAAATCTCCACAAGTCTTTACCTTTGTGTGGTGTGGAAGTTTGGAGCACAGCATCAGCCTCTGCTTTCATCTTAAACCTCAAATACTGAGAACAATGAAGTACGTAAATGAACTTTAATGAACAGAGTACGCAACATGTATTAAGCTATATTAAAATGAAATACAATGTACAGTCAAAACTGCATGCATATATATTAAATGTTTGCACTATTCATTTAAATGATCTGCAGACGTATTGTGCATAAGCCTCAATCTAGGCTGAAGTGTTACTAGACAAACTGTCTCATCGCATGATCCTCAGAAATCAGAAGAAAAGTGTCTGTTAGTTTTTGTGGGAGTGTTGAACAGGCTTCAGACGGATGTAACATTATCCGATCGGGGATTTTCCTCTGAGACCTCGCAGATTCTTCATCTAGCTCGCAACTACTGTTACTCTGAGTAACTTTTTCCAAAGCTTTGTCTTGGTTTGGGAGTCTGTTTGCATTCTAGTATTGGTTGAATTTAATGTTTAGTGGCATGGTAACAGAACACTTTCCTCACTCCTTCTGTTTTCTTGACTTTGTGTAAGAACACACACTGCTGCCAAAGCAGTTTATATAATGGAAAATACTAAAGCAGCCAGTCCTGAACATTTTCCCCAAACCACAGGAATAATGCTGCTCAGTGTTTGTAACATTGTGACTGAATCATCAATCATGCTAGTCCTGCTCTATTTAAGGCTGCAGTCGTGTCAAATACAAGCAAATACATCAACTTCTCCCTTTCTCCTTTCTCTCAAAGGCTTCAGTGAACCTATGCTTTTTAATTTAATCTGTAAGTAAAGCTGCATTAAAGATGCTAAATCATTACTGACGTTTAAAAGCCAGTTCTTATAAGCGAAGCAGTATTCAGCACTGAAACATTGCATATTACATATATGAACTATGAATCATTTTGAAGACAAATTTCCACTTTTGAATGCTTTTCCAATCCATACGTATGCTGAAGGAGTCACTCAGTTTCTTATAGAGACACCCATCCTTTCATGGTTGAGGGGCATAGAAGGGGAAAACTGGGCCACTAATGAGATGGAAAGCAAACTCACCCTAACCCTGAGCTGTGAGGTGGAGTGTAGCATGACGGGTAAACAAACCACAGAATGTAGTCTGCAAAACTGTCTGGCACCAAAATCTACCCACAAACAGTTAAAATAAACATTCTGTCATCATTTGAGTTTGTTCTTCTGTGAAACACAAAAGAAGATGTTGTGCAAAGATGTCTCTGTGTGTAAAACTAAAAATAACACCTTCCACCGCAGCTGTCAGATCTCATTTGTGCCTGAGCATATTCAGACTTACACTAGTGTTAATGACGCTCAACACTGTTGCTTCTCATAAATCTGACAGACTGAATGTGAAACAGCAACACTTATTTATAAAGCACATTTAAAAAAAAAACATAAACTGATCCAAAGTGGAACAGATAGATGTAAATAATTAGAAAATCTGAGCGCTCTAGCCTACTCAACCCTGAATGTAAGCCAGTGGAGGAACACTAATAAAAGGAAAGTATGGTCCCTGTTTTTAGAATGTGTCAAAAGCCTTGTGGCTGCATTTTGAACAACTTGCAAGCGAGATTATGTAGATTGGGTTACAGTAATGGATGACTAATTCCAAATCTTTGCTTGACAGAATATGCTTTAGTTTTGCAATAGAGTCATGTCAAAGAAGTCAAAGATCACTCCAAGGTTTTTGTAAATTTAAAGTGGAACTAACTGGACTTTTAGGACAGGGAAAGAAGAGATGGGACAACCTAAAATCAAACATTTGCTTTATCTTCATTAAGTTGCCAAAAAATTTTCACCATCCAACTCTTAATATCATTAATGCACTTGAACAAGACATTAAATGAAAATGTAGTGCCAGGCCTTACTGGAAGGTAAAACTGGGAATCGTTTGCACAACAGTGATAATCAACATTATTTTCCTGTAGAATGTAGCCAAAAAGGAAGTATATAAACTAAATCTATAGATCTCAGATCTCCTCTCTGTACATAAACGGGAACTAATAAAGGTCCCAAAACGGATCCCTGGGGCACGCCACACAATAAAGGAGCAGATGATGAAGAAAAATTCCCAAATTTACAAAAAAAGGTCCCGTTCTCAAGGTAAGAAGCAAACCCTGTGCAGTGCCCTAGATACCTACCATATGACATTAGTGAAGAATATAAAGGTCAATGGTATCAAATGCCATGCTCAGATCCAACAAAGCAAAAGCAGCGCATGAGCCTTAATCTAGATCAAGTAACATATAATTTGTGATTATATAGGGATCTAAAACCAGATTGAAACAACCAAAAAGTTAAAAGAATTCAAAAAGACAAAAATATTTTCAAACATATTACTTTTCTAGTACTTTCAAAACACCTATTTTTTGGAATTAAATGTATAATGATGGATTATAATTGTATGATAATGATTGTAATTATTGTGTTACCGTCCAACCCTGTCAAATCTAAGCCACAGATGTACAGCACCATAAGTACAGTCTATATGACTCTGTGCTGTTGTTTTGTCTCAGGGTTCATGGGTCAGATCTCCTCTCTGCTGCTATGAGTCCTCATGCCTGGATCTTTTGCGCCCTTCTCTGCGTCCTCACTTGTGAACGGAGCAAGAGTGCATACAAAGGGCCCGTCCTGAGCCGAAAGCGGAGACTGGTAGAGGACGCAGCCGATGGGGCCCCAAGAAAGTGCTCTTATACATTCTTGGTCCCAGAGCAGAAGATCACGGGGCCGATCTGTGCCAGCCAGGGCCCTTCTCTGCCAGATAAAGAGCGCGTGACGCAGTTGGATATAGCTGACGTCCGGGAGCTCCTCACCAAGCAGAGACGTGAAATGGACACACTCCGGATGATCGTGGACGTGGATGGAAACATGGTTAACGAAATGAAACTTTTACGCAAAGAGTCACGCAACATGAACTCCCGCGTCACCCAACTGTACATGCAGCTGCTGCACGAAATCATTCGCAAGCGTGATAATTCACTGGAGCTGGCGCAGCTGGAGGGACGGATCCTCAACAGCACAGCCGAGGCGCTGCGGCTGTCCACCCTCTACAGGGAGCTGGAGGTGCGCTTCTCCTCGCTGGCCGCGCTGGTCAATAACCAGTCGCTGCTGATCGCAGCTTTGGAGGAGCGATGCCTGCAGGTCACCCACAGGAGGTTCCCCTCAGGGGAACATCAGTCTGGAGGGTAATGAAGCCATTACACAACAAAACACACAGCATCTGTGTTTGCCAACCGACACTCTTGTCATTTCCATTAGTGTCACTAAACTCAAACTGCATTGAAAATTAACACTCATATGCACACCAAACACAACACATTTAAAGAATAAGTCACATTTAAGCAATAGAATCATCCTGAAATACCAGAGGCTGCTGTATCAGGACTGCATTTCTAGGACCCTAGTTTTTTTGTGACAGCACCACCAAGTCAATTCTACTCCATCAGTCCTGATTCTAACCTGAAACAAACAGGTGCAAAGACTAGACCCATTAGTATTATATTTTAAATAGTCTTTTCATGTTGTTTTTTTTGTTTTTGTTTTTTTTTTATGTAAGAGCGGCGCAGCCATTTGTTACTTTGATGTGCAAGGCCTTTGGTGTTTGTCGCTTCTAGTTATTTTAGCTGTACAAAACTCTGTTAAGATGTTTGATGTTCCACAAGTTTAGTTTTCTGAGACATGCAAAATAATCAGACAATAAAAAGTAATTGCAAACGTATGTACCTCAAAGAGTAGAGCATTATGCTTGCAATGTCAAGTTCATCAGTTCAATTCCCACGGAAAGCAAGAACTAATCAAATGTATACTTTGAATGCATTGGATAAAAACATCTGCCAAATGCATAAATGTAAATTAAGAGCATATCAGAAATGTGCAACATGTAATGTACAAAAGCCCAGCAAAACATTTAAACCATAGGCCTGTGCAGAATATTACTCAGTCAAGAAAACTGAGCTAGTTTTCTCTTGTTAGCCGCTAACCTTATACACATGAACAGGTATCTGGTAATCTATATCTGAAAGGCAGAAGAGCATAACTGAAGATATATGTCAGTATTGAAGAGGTTTGTTGATGCTCGTTGCTCATCAGCGGTGTGCGTTCACTCACTTGTGTGTGCTGGTGTCTCGAGGTCCATTTCGGGACTGTCTTCAGGCGATGCAGGCTGGACACTCCACCAGCGGGACGTATCTTCTGAAACCAGACGGGACGGAGACACCTGTACAGGCCTGGTGTGAGCACGATGTGGACAGAGGCGGCTGGACGCTTATCCAGAGGAGGAAAGATGGATCTGTCAACTTTTTCAGAAACTGGGACAGCTATAAGGTAGCGATGTCTGATTCACAATGAATCACTCTTTTGAACCAGTTCTTTTGAATGATTCAGTACCAGATGACTTTGTCATCAAAAACAGAGAGATAAACGACAATATTCCAATGAAAATGAGACAAAAACACATCACTCTGGTTCCCTTGACAAAAACCCAAAAGGATTTTTCCTTTTGCTTTAGGATTATTGCAGAAAATATGCCCTGTGAAAAGTTTATGAAAAAAAAGTTTATGATTGTTATATGTTTTGTTTGCTGTCCAGGTTCATTGGAAATACATGCTTCTACCTAAGTTTCTGCAAAACTCAAAATACTTACCTATACGTACAAATCGCTGCAGTTTCCAGTTGAAATGAACACTCTGACAACTTTTATTCATTTTCACACAAAGTATGATTTACAGGGCCAGACTTTTGATTAAGAAAGCCTAATTTTCTCTCAATTCCTTGTACAATATTATGTTATGACCTCACAACAATTTTAGCATGCTGCGAGATTTGAAAACAGGCACATTTGAACATTAGTGTTGCATATCCAGCTTCACATGTATAGGTAACGCAGTAGGTTTGCTTGGTAGTGTTGCACTTGTGAGATGAAGCACTCTGGTACGGATCCTGTGAAACTATGGTTCGACAAAAGTAGAGTAGAGACAAATTAAAATAGCACTGCTGCATCAGGAAATTCCTGTACTAACATAACAAAAACATGGCCACGGTCAAATATTGAGTGTGTGTTTTAGCACCACTTGCGGGATATTTCACTTTAAAATGTATTTATTTAACTTTAAAACTGCCACGAAACATGCTATAAGACACATTATATCAATGCTGCAGAAACTGCCACAAGCACATATTTTCAATGAGCCTGGGTTGCTTGTTCATCATTATAATATTCACAAATGAACACAACTTTTATGAATTTTTAAGCTTAACGGCAATTGGCAGAAGTAAAAAGCTAAACAACAATAAATGAACTACACCACAGTCACATGACTTCAACATCACCAAAATTAAACATTGACAAATATTTCTGGAAGTTTGAGTAAGAATAGTTTGATTCGAAACACAACGACTAGTGAGTAGATGAGTTTATCTGTTTGGCATGATGGTGTTCAGTGTCCCGACAAAATCTGTAGTGCCATTTAGACACTTTACAAGACAAGTAAAAGCTAAAAAACACACACACACGCAGGTAATCATGATGTATTTTATGTCATAGAATAAAACATGGAAATATCTTGATCTTGTGTTCAACACAGACCTCATTTCAGGCATTTAACCAAAAACCCATTAAACACCCACTGACTTCAGGACGATGGAACTGGAGGTGCTAAAATGCAACTGGCGTCCAGGTTTCGGCTTACAAAAACACCTCATCCCTGCAGCACTCTACAGACAATTGAACGATTATATGAGTTAGACCGTGTCTCTATGAGCTGCGATTTGCACATTTTCTTCAGCAAACGGACCTTCGTGAGCCGCTGTCAGAGAATCAGACTGACGTTGCTGGTGTCTCAGAGAAACACTAGTAATGAGGGTGATTACGATGGAGCTCCTAAACAGCTGGATCTGGTTCTCAGGATTTGCGCCTCGCGTCCGTTTGTTTTGATTGCGCTCGTGCCTGTGTGTCAGTGGTTCTTTCATTCTGAGCCCCACACACACACACACACACACACACACACACAGACACACGCAC